TAACCTAAGCTTTGTTATCTTTGGGGCACTCTTCTCCAAGCAGAATCCGCCTGCCTTACATGGTGCGGCTAGGAAAAGAAGCTGCGAGTATCCATTCCTGGAGAGACTGAGGCTGGCAATGCTCCAATAATGCCATTGTCAGACACAGGCCTCAGAACTTAGGTTAGCTTCTGTTCTTTTATCCTTATGATTGCTTGTTAAAACAATGGTTCTCAATATTTTCTTCACCACAAAACCCCTTTAGGTACCTTTTGTGCCCAAGGACCCCCAAGTCTTAACTCAAGATTTAAATCACACCATTTCTTCAACGCTCACAGGCCCCCTGTGACGACATCGTGGAACTCCCAAAGGTCCGAGGAATACAGGTTGAGAACCACTGTCATAAGGATAAAAGAACAGGAGCTAACCTAAGTTCTGAGGCCTGTGACTGACAATGGCATTATTGGAGCATTGCCAGCCTCAGTCTCTCCAGGAATGGATACTCGCAGCTTCTTTTCCTAGCCGCACCATGTAAGGCAGGTGGATTCTGCTTGGAGAAGAGTGCCCCAAAGATAACAAAGCTTAGGTTATGCATAGGGTTTTATAAATAATGACCATCACATTGAATTAAGACCAGAAACCCACTGGCAACTATTAGAATTGTTGTTGGTTTGAGCTCCGAGCTTGGCAATTTGGTTGCAAACGTTTTGTCCCCATTCAAATGGGGACGATATGTTTACAACCAAATTGCTGAGCTTGGAGCTCAAACCAACAACATAACTACCAACCCGGGCTACTAATATTCAAGGAGATTTCAACTATTAGTACTCCATAAAGTAAGGAACCAGCTAGCATCACACAACAGGAAGGTGGCTGCATTCTGTGCCAGCTGCAGTTTTGGTCACTTTAAGGGCAGCCAAGTGTGAATTACAGTAGTCTAAGAGATAACAACAGCACATCACTGTCATCTTAATGAGTTTGAAATAATTCCCTGAGTGCTTAAAATAATTTAGAATTACCCTGATGGAGTACTTTTGAGTTTCTAGAACTATTTCGTAGTTTGACTTGGTTTGTGGTTCATGTTGCCTTGCTCAGCATATTGGCCACATTTATTTGTTTATTTATTAGATATATAATGCCCTCCAACTCATCCAGTTTGGCAGCATTAAAAACAATACATCAAATAAAAACCATACAACAATAAGCAATACAATTTATAAGTACAAAATATAAAATGGCAACCAAGCAAATAACAAAACAATCATAGGATATTTATTTATTTATTTATTTATTTATTTATTTATTTATTTATTTATTTATTTATTTATTTATTTATTTGGAAATCTTGACTTCTGAGAGCAACTCCATTTCAGTAACAGCCTTAGAGCAAAAGCTTCACAGAATGTGACAATATGTGTTATTACAGATGGTGGAGAAATTTGTCATGTAGAAAAAAAAATCCATGTAATCACTAGGAGTCGAAAATGACTTGATGGCACATAATCGGTCAATCAAAGAGAAATTATATACTGTATAACCAGGCAATCTGCTTAGTGCAGATCACAGGTTCATATGCATTTATCTTACCCTTGAGTATAAATTCTAGATTTTTCTATCCAACCCTTTTGAACCAACAGACTTGCCTATTCTTGACCCAGGCTTCACTTTTGGCAATAGAATGTCTCTGTAATAAAGAGATGGAGAAAACCATGTGTTCCATGACTGTGCCTTGTCCAAGCATAGTTGGTTCTTCCTTGAGAGCTTCAGCCTGAGATGAATGAACATAGCATTTCAGAAGATTTGGTATTACATAAACCCAAGTAGACTCTTCAATTTGCCTTCTCATCCCTTGCTTTCCTTCCTTTTTGCAGCAAAGAGAGACATGAAGATTCATGTTTCACCACTTGTTGACTGTCATTACAAATCTGACTTTAAAATGTTCTACAATTTTTATTAGATTATTTAGGAATGGTGTTCCATTAAACTTTTAAACCACTGTTGTTGGTCCATATGTGCCCCGAAACATAGCCATTGAATCCTCTTTTGGATTAAATCCTCATCCCAACTATCAGGAGGAGAAAAGTTAAAGAGGGGGCCATGGTTCTATATCAAGACATTTTCTTGATTCTCTTTCTTAGTCTACCCTTCAGAAGAACCTGCAATCAATCCCGTCTCTCTGATGATAACACATATTTTTACAATTTGATTACTTTCAAGTATACATTACACAGGCATACACAGACATGCAACACTTTTGAATACATACTTATAATGGCCAGTCTGGACTGGTTGCAATTCCAGAAATGTTGGGCTTTCTCTACGCTTTTATATTCTGTGGCTTGGTTCACTTGCATGAGTTACTTAATCTTTGTGCTTGGCAAAGCCCTTTTTTGCTACATTGCTGCTCTTTGCTTGTGGTTCTTTTTAATAGAGGGCTTGGCCTTGAAGCTGTCAGCTACTGTATACTAGGTTCCATTCCCTCCCTTTTATGATTATGACTTCAAAAACCACTGAGATGCTCAGACAATTTTTAAAAAAGACAGAATACCAGTATAGTACAGGCTACGTGTCTGTCTTATGACCTCCAGTATTCCAACATTTTTTCTGGATCACCACATTTAAATATAAATTCATTTCTTGGGCCTATTTTGAACTGATCCCTGTGGAGGACTAAATGAAGCAATACAAGGAAGTTTGTGACAAATATTCACCCATGTTTGCCTTTGCCAACATTTCCAATGTGGGAAGACAGTAACTCATAGAATCCCCAGATATCGTGATAGTAGTTGCTGTCGCTACACAAATGGAGGAGCCCAACCCAGAAAGTGCTTTTTCTGTGCTTGGGGGCTTATCTGCATGTAATGCTTTGCTCCTTGTCTGACATCCATATACCCAAGTCTTACATGATGAGTTGCCTTATAACAGCAGTCCAGATAAAATGAATGGTGTAGGGTTTCTTGCCTAAGCAGGGGTTGGACTAGAAGACCTTCAAGGTGCCTTCCAACTTTTGTTATTCTATTTCTAATGACATCCAATACTCTTGTTGATTTCAGTGAGAGATTTGTAAGCCTGTATCAGCTGTATCTCGTGGCACACGACAATATTTAATGAAACATTTAATTTAGAGCCAATCTAAATGTGACCCGATGAAAAATCCAAAATTAGATTTTTTTTTCTAAAAAATAATTAAAAACTTCACTAGCAGTCCCTTATGAAGGAACCCAGCTTGCTCAGCCTTGAACCTTCTTTAAATCTTCATAGTTAGTCTGTGAAGCTGCATAAACTGCTAGCAATTGTTTGCAATTCATTACAGCAGATTCCAATTAGAAATATTCCTCATCCAATTATGATCTTAGATTTTACATTACACCTTAAAGATATAATTTGTTCACTCTTCTTGTACCTCCTATGGATGTACAGATTGCTCCTGATGATTTAAATTCAACTGAATTAGTTCAGAGTGATTAATGCTATAAAAACACAAATGCTCATGGTTGAAATTAAATCTGTTTGGATGTCTCTAATACAATTATTCAAACTGAATCAGCTGTCGTATTTGAAAAGTCAAGTCAAATTAGACATTCTATTGATTGAATCTTGGAATTTAATGTTTGCTGATTTTCTAATACAACTTGCTCATTTTTCAAATAACTCAAGGTTACTAAAAGTTCAGGAACTTGTCCAGGCAGTCAACAGGAGTCAAAAACTGACTTGAAAGTACATGTAGGCATACCTATTCACTAGTCAAGATCTTAATATACTATCAGATACTCCTCAATCATTTACCAGTATTAACCTGAATTGTTTCCATCTTAGTATACATAGTAAGAACATTCTGAGGCATTGAATATAAACCAGTTCAGAGTGAGATGTGTTCTCAGTGAACTCAGATTATTGTTCCTAACACAGCAAAGCCTTCTTCAGACGTGATATTCAGCAGGTTCTGACCAGTTGTGGAGAACCGATAGCAGAAATTTTGAGTAGTTCAGAGAACTGGTAAATATCACCTTTGGCTGGCCACGCCCATCTATTCTCTGCCTCTGAGTCCCAGCTGATCAGGAGGAAATGGAGATTTTTACAGTATCCTTCCCCTGAGCAGGGTGGGAATGGAGATTTTATAGTATCCTTCCCCTGCTACACCCACCAAGCCATGCCACGACCACCAAGCCACACCCACAGAACCAATAGTAAAAAATTTACCACCCAACCACTGGCCTTCTTGCTCTTGGATTGTTTGCTTCTGAGTAATATTAATACTAACCCCACAGATACTTCTGTGGGGAAGCTGTCGATATTTCTGTGGGATCCCACTGAGTTTTTCACATCCCAGCTCCTAGATTAATATCTCAATTTGAATTGTACCACATTGTACCCTTTCTCTGAAGTGCAGGTAGGCATTCCTTAATCTTCAAACATATTGTATACAAAATTGAGAACTTTATGTAC